CTGATAGATTTAAGTAATTTTTTAAAATTTGTTTGAATATTTTGGCATTGGATATAGGTGTAACTTGTATAGGCTTTAACTGATAATTAGAGATAAAGCTGAAACTATCTTTGCACAAAATGAGAATAATAGATTTTTATAAAAACAATTGACCAGCTCATTGATTCCCAAAATTCAAAAATATAAGTCACTATAAAAAGTAATGGGTAGTTGTGTGTCTATTTGTGTAACCTGGCAAATTTAAATATTTCACAATAAAGATCTCCTAGGTGAAGATAAAGTGCTGTGCCTGGAGTCAGGAAGACCTGATTTCTAATCTGGTCTCCAACACTTAACTAGCTCTGTGACCTGGGCAAGTCACTTAACCTCTACCTTAATTCACTGGAGAAAGAAATGGCACACTACTTCACTGTCTTTGCCAAGAAAACCCCATGGACAGCATGGTCCATGGAGTCATGAAGAGTGGGACAAGACTGAATGACTAAATAGCCACACAGGTGATCTTACTCTTGTTAAGGTGGGGAGTTAAGGTGTATGAAAGTTAGGAAACAAGTTAAAGACTTTACCAGTGATTCTTAGGAATACCTTCATTTTGTCACCATGCCTATGTTAAAAGCTTTTCCAGATCTCTAGCAATTAATCAGCAAGCATTTTTTAAGTGCCTGCTACGTGCCAAGCATTGAGCTAGGACCCTTCATAGATTGAAATCTGCTGGCATAGCATTCAGAGATCTAGGGACACTTCCCAGCCAAATTGAGGTATTGGAGATGGCTTTTAGTTAAAAAAAAAAAAAGACTGCATTATACTATAAAAATCACAATACAAAAGATTGTCAGTAATTAAGGACACTAAAAATATCTTTACAAGAGACCTTCTCCTTAGCCCCTTACCCCTAACAGAGATAAATCCTCAAAGATAGTTTTATTTCCTGTTATAAAGTGCATGAACACTTTTATCTTTACCTATTACATTCATTACTTCAAAGGGATTGAAATGACACTCCTATTAGGTACATTAGTGATATATCTTTGTTTTACCAGTCAAGGAAAAAAACCCCAGTAATTAACCTCCTACATATGTGCCCTATGTACTATGGGCACTGTGGACAAAAATACATAACAGGGTCTCTGTAAACTAAATATCTTACATTCTACTTGATAGCGCAGTATGTCCACAGATAATGCAGGATAGGTACACCATAAGTGATTTCTGAAGTGCGGACATTAATAAGTAGAGGAATCAGGAACTATACTGTACATAGTATAGTACCGTGAACATAGTAGGAACCTAATAAATGTGGAACGAATGAATAATCATAAGGTTTGGAGCTGGAAGAGAAATTAGAAAGCATTTTGTCCAGCCCACTTATTTTACAGATTGGGCAACTGAGGTTTATAGATGTTAAGGGATTTTCCTGAGACCACACAGATAATGAACATTACAGCCAAGATTCAAACCCAGTCTCCTGTCTTCAAAGTCAGTGTCTCAACCCTGTACCAATCTGTACCAAAATTAACAGATGCAGATTTATGTCCTTACCTTGACCTAGGCATCCATGTTTAGGCAGGAATAATAGGAAGAAAGAAATTAAAAACACTGATCATGTACAGTTGGGCAATTGTTAACAATTACTCCTTGAATAATCATGCACTGGTTATATTTTTACTGTGAATCTTTCTTTTACATCTTTTATACCTTTAAACTTGTGCAGGGATAAGCCATTTAAACTTTTTTTAACTGTATAAATCATTTGTGAGACACTAGAATAGCAGTAAGTTCCCTTCCTTATGAAATGGATGAAAATCAAGACATCATAGAACATTTTACACGACTTAGTGGTCTTTGGTATGTTTAGTTTTAATAGCATGACGTCCTTTAATTCTTTCTTCCAGTCCATACATCTTTATGTAGGAAAGTAGTTTCACCATTTAAATCAGAGAAGGGTTTTTTTTCCTTCTGACACTCTAGTTGGAAAATTTAACATTCAGTTAAGAAAGTGGGGCAAAATTAATTAAGGTCTTTTTTTTAAGTAGAGAAATTTAGATACATGTGGGTAGTAAAATAACATTGAAATTGACCTGCATAGAGGCTTTGTGATTTCTTGATTTATAGCATTTTTGAAGTAAGTCAACAAACTCTTATTAGGTGCCTAATATATGTGCCAGTTTCTGTGCTGTACTGGAAAAACATGTCTAAAAAAAAAGGCAGAATTATAGAAAAAAAAAGAACTTATGAGAGAATTATATTTATTAGTGGAAATGAGCATTTCAGCCTTGATGTTTCTTTAAAAACCTGTTGATTATGGACTACTGTACAGTACATCATTGAAGTATTAAGTGGTTTGGTCTATTATGAAGAGGCCTGGACTTGTAGTTATTCATTTAGTAAATATTTATTAAGTGTCTACTATGTACCAGGCATTGTGTTAAGTGCTGGGGATACAAAAAGAGAAAAAAGTTAATCCCTGCCCTTAAAAAGCTTATAATCTAATGGAGGAGACAACAAACATATAATTTTTAAAAAAGCTAAATATAGGATAAATAATAAATAATTAACAGAGGGAAGACATTCAAATTAAGAGGCATTGAAGAAAGCTTTCTGGTGGAAATGGGATTTTGTTTGGGACCTAAAGGAAATCAGGGAGGTAAGCAATCAAAATGGAAGAGGAAGAGGAAGAGTATTCCAGGCATGGAGAACATCTAGAGAGAATATCCAGATTGAAGAAATAAAGTGCCTTGTTTGTGTGAAAGCCAGGAGGCTGACTTTCCTGGATAGAATACATACTAGAGAGTAAGAAAACTTGAAAGCATTTAATAGGAATGTATATGTATAGCCTATATCAGATTGGTATCATCTTGGGGAGGGCGGTGGGGAGGGAAGGAGAGAAAAATTTAAATCTCAAGAGTTTATGGAAGTGATTGTTGATAAATCAAAATAAATTAATTTTAAAAAAAGAAAACTTGAAAGGTAGGAGGGGACGAGGTTATAAAGGCCTGGGTTCAAATCTTTCCCCTGACATTTACTAGAAGGTGTGTCATCATGGACAAGTCTTTAAAGGTGCCTGTGTGAGCCTCAGTATTTTCACTACCAAATGACAATAATAATACCTGTAATATCCACTTAGCAGTATTATTGTGAAACTCAAATGAGATAATATATGTAAACCTTGAAAAACTATACTACATAAATGCCAGTTATTTTAAGTGATAGATTCTACTTAGCAAAATGATAAAATGTTCCATAAATATCAAATTGGAGTTAAAAAAAAAAACCTCATCTGCATGCTTTCTGCATGGTAGTATGATAGAAGCAATGTATAAGAAATTATAGAGTACATCATAAAAATAAGTAATTATAATGGGGATTCAAGAAATGTATATGATTATTTAGTATAAATTGGACTTGATAAAAATTCACTCCTATTTGTAGAAAGGTAGCTTATGAGTATATTTTGCTTTATTTTGATTTTGTATATAATTGTCATGTTCTCTGAAGAAAAAGCTGATGTTGATTAGCATTCAGGCACTTTAATCCTTAAGTCCAATCTCTAATATAAATTATAAAGCTATGGTCACTATTTACCTACAGTTCAATTGCAAAAGAATTCTCAGTATCTGAAAACATCCTGCCTCTTTCTGCATCTTCGTAACACTTTATTTGACAAGAAGAGTAAACACGTCTGCATTTTTCTTGTTTGGGGAGAGTAAGTGGATTTCCTTCAGTATAGTGCCAGAAAAAAGGGGAGGAGGGAAGTTTTAAATGATATGTGAGGTGCCTCTAGTCATCTAATGTGATGCTTACTGCAAAGTGGTTAGTACTTTGTCACTGTGTTATTTCAAGTTATATCCATCAAAAACATGGCCACTCTGCTTCTCAAAGGAATGAGAAAAGGTCAGATGCTAGTAAGGGATGAGGGTTGCAAGACACAAAGCAACTCAACTGGAGAGCTAAAGCTCCTGGGAAATTGCAAAAGGACCACAAAGGTCCATGGTTGTGGGCAAACTAAGCTATGTTTATTTTCCCATTTAGTGAACATTTTCTCAATTGTTATAGGTCAAATCTTAGGTTTTTTTTATGAGATTAACTGGCATTCTTGGACTTCAAAAAGTAGTGCATTGGTGTGGGTGGCAACATAGTGGACCAAAAGAAAATTGGAGATCTTGAGGAAGTGTTTGTCATTGCATACACATAAACACACATCATGGCCAGTGTGGATATTCTGCTGCTCCATAAATAATTGTGGCTGGTTGCTAACTTTGACTTTATTCGGTCTAAAACCAAGAATTGCTCCATAGATAATTGTTGACAGTTGCAAACTCTCATTTCATTCAATTAAGCTGGTAACCTTTTTAGGGAACTGCTTGGGAGAAAGCCAGGAATTCCAGTCAGTTGAATTCTAGAAAAACTGAATTATAATTGTCTTCATATAGAAAAATCTAAAGTATAGTTTGTAGCAATGTTAACTTTTTTTCTTTTCTTTTTTTTTTTTTGGCTAGGCAATGGGGTTAAGTGACTTGCCCAGGGTCACACAGCTAATAAGTGTTATGTGTCTGAGGCTAGATTTGAACTCAGGTCTTCCTGAATCCAGGGCTGGTGCTCTATCCACTATGCCACCTAGCTATCTCTCAACTTTTTTTCTTAAATGTCTCTATAGGGTTAAGTATCTAAATGTACAGAAAAGAGAAAATTATGCTATCAAGATTAATATTTTGTTCAACTTGACTATAAATTGGAAAGATTGGAAAGATACAGACAGAGAGAGAGTTAGTTAACAGAAGCCATTATGGCAAGGAGGTGTGCCTGGTATTTTAGGGGAGAAATCTCTAGTGCCCCTGCCATGTTTGGAAAGCTTCAAAGACAGGCCCAAGTGATGAACCATATGCTAACTAAGGTTTGAGAGGTTCATCACTAGAGGGTTGACAGCCAACTTTGATGTTTGGGTTTTTGGTTGGTTGTTTTGTTTTGTTTTTGAATAGACAGTCTGTAACCTTTCTTCTCAGGCAGTCTTTATTGGTGGAGATGGATGAGATCTCAGATATTTGATGAAGTATTGAAGATTTTTGAGGTACATGCACATGCTAAAGGTAAGAGAATAAGAAAGACTATTTTCAAACATATTCAATATGAGGAAAAACCTGTTTAGTGGCATAAATTCTGTCCTAAAACTTCAGCTTCATTTAAGCACATTCCCCAATTGAACTTTATGTAGATGAAGGAATAAGTAGGGAAAGACCTTGTCATTTCTTATAATGAGGCTATAATATTTGACCTATAGTGTTGTAAAGTGTGATTTTATTGCTTTTCTTTGGGGTTTTCTAGGGTAAAACTTATGGACAGATAGCATGATATAATTTTTTAAATGCTTCTTTTTATACACACTTTTTAGAATATCAAACTTATGGAGAAAAAGACATGTGTTTGAATGTCTACCAACTTTGGGTAGACTCAGTTCTATGGGTGCAGACTGAATACCTAAGTCAGTTTTAGCAAGACTCCTTACAAATCTGAGATTAGTCATAATGGAAAAGATTCTGGACATTGTAGGTAGATTAATACATCCCCATCAGTCTTTCTGGAAAATACAACTTAAAGCACATGCCCAACTTATGGTGACTCAAGAGGGTCTTGGTGAGAGACTTAGTTTGACTTTTCAGATTGGATTGCAATCCAATATGTATGGAAATTATAATCAATAAAAGAAAAAAATTACTAAACCTGTAAATTTACTCTTAGAATTGGTGTTTTGCATTCATCAGCTTTACCTTGCTTATGCTGATGTTTTGAAAACAATATACTTTATCTCAGAAGAGGTTATTTAATTCATCCTCTTCAGCATTACTTTTCTTTTGCCTGTATCAGAGGTGGTCGACTGGTTGACCCTGCAAGGGAACAAAAAGCTTCATACGTTGCTTCTTCTATAATACAGTAGCTGTCACCTCACTATTCTGAATGGATCAGACACAGAAGTGACAGTGGCAAAGGGATGCCATTTGGGTATAGCATATTCAATGAGTAAACTCTTGGGACACAAATCACATTTTACACAAAAGGAGGGACAACTATTTGAGGCAGTCTGCCAATGTTTCACCATTGTCCTTTTATTGAGATTTGTGTTTTCTTGCCTGTTTGGGGTGTGCTGAGGGGAGGGGGATAGAGGGTGGAGAGGTGGGGGGGGCAGGTAGGAATTGAGGAAAAGGAGTTTTTTGGTGTTTTGACTAAAGTGGAACACAAATCAAGATACAGAAGTTTTGAAACAAGATAGCCTGCACAATACTGTATAGCTTAAAATGCTGAATCCAACTGGCTTTTTGTAGAAAGGCAATATAATATGCCATAGGGTCAGTCAGCTTCCAGTAAATGAGAGACCCTGACACACAGTAAGCTGATGTGAAAAATTAGCTTCAATCTAAGATTTCTGACCTTTAAAGCAATTTTCTCAAAAATTGAATGAGATTAATTATAAAAGAAATTCTCTGTAGCATTCAGCTTCCGATTTTATCTTTTCATTAGTCGTAATAAATATAAGCACATCAATTTGTGTATGTTTTAGGAAAATATTTAGTGGTGCTATGAATTAGATTTGGAATTATTGCTGGCATTTTAATTTTTATCTTTACATAATGTGAGTCATATTCTGAAAATTTAAATATAAGAAGTCATCAACTTATAGCAATTTTATTTGCCCTACAATACCCTACCATTTATATTCATGCTATTACTTAGGACACTTAAAGCAGAGAACACATTGACTTCCTGATGTGTTCCTAGGCAGAAAACCTTATTTCTTTTTCAAGAATCCAGCTGGCCCTTTCCCCCAAGAAAATATTTAGTTCACCAGATTCAGGCACAGCCCCTTTCTTTGGATTTCTCCAGTGTTTCCTTCCCAGGTCCTCCCCCTAGCCTTACACTGCCTTTCTTCAAAGACTCTCTTAAATATGACTAACATTAAAATGTGTGTGATTTGATCCTGTATTGTCCTGTGTGATGGAGGTAGGTATACTTTAAAAAGCTCTGTTCTGTCTAAAATGAAAGCATACAATTTAGTAGATATTATATTTGTGATTAATTCTCTATCAACCCCTCAGAACAGTACTTCTTTTATAACATTTTTTCCTATGGGAAAATCACATTCAACATAATTTTGTTTTGATTTACAGTACTGTTTCTGGAAATATAATCCTCTATAACTTTAAGGGCTGCTTATATAAATGAATACAATCACATTGGCTACAATAATGAGGCTCTTGGTATACATTATTTCATGGAACAGTATAGTCATATAGGGATTTTATTTTTCAAGTAGTAATTTTTTTCTGGCCTATTAATTCAGAAGGTAATACTCTCATAGAATTAAAAATAGTTTGTATGAATGAACATACTCTGATCATGCCAAGAATCATTTAAACTTAAAATAAATATCACTTTGATCTAAATGACAGTAATCTGGTGATTTCATTTGAAATGTCTTAAGTGTCATTGCTTTCTAACAATAAGGTTACTGAAATATGATATTAATAAGATATGACAGAGTCAGTTTTTCAGAATGTTATATAATGAAATTCATTCCTATTCCTATCTAATGATTCTATTTTAATTTGATTTTTATTAGTGTACCTCCATCCATTCTTATTCTTTGCCTACTTTTGAAAGTAATAGAAAGTGCTGTTTCAATGACTGCAAAGATAGTAAAATCTATTCAATTGAAGTGGCAAGTTTGCCAAATCAACAGTTTTTAAAAATGTTTTTAAAGGTGAATCAGTCTTTTGAAAGAGATTACTTTCCCAGTGTACTCATAGTTTGAATTTTTAAAAAAGAAGTTTATAATGAAGTACATTTCAACTCTATTTTCATATATATATTTTAGCCTCTTAGAAAATAAAATAACAGTTTACCATAATGAATCACTGATGTTATCGAATACTTCAACTGGTGCATTTCTTATATTCTGTGAATGCTTGGTCTGCTGGTCAGGATGAATAGAGAGGGCCTCTACCTGCAAAAAAAAAAGTCCATGTTTTAACCAAATATAAATAGTATACACAGAGGGTATACTATTATAACATTCACTCCATCACTGGTCACAGCAAGAGGTTTTCAAAGCATTTAATTTCAAATCTGCAGTCAACTTTCCATTTTCTACCAACAGATTATCCCAAGGGAGTCTGGAAAGCTCTAAAGTGATTCAAGCACTCTGTTCATTTTTTTGTTCCATGTTGACTTTTCTACCCATAAGAACTATGGTTTGTATCTCAGAAAGATCTAGAAAAGATGTTTAGTGGGAACTGATATTGTAACTCAATAAATAATAATGTTGTCTCCGTCTTCAAATTTTGAATTAGAAATGAGGGGGAAATGAAAATACTTAATAACCTTCCTACTCCCTTCTTACCTATCTCCCCATGTAAATTGTAAGTTAAATAGAAAATTAGAGCGCATCTAAGATTGACTTTTTTATGTTAACAGTTATACCATTGATCCCTCATCTAAGCAACATTTATTATGCACCTACAGTGTGCCAGTCACCATGCTAGGCACTGTAGATACACAATATCAAGGAAGTAGTCTCTGAATAAACTTACATCTTACTCATGGAAGTGACATGTTGACCAATAGACAAATGCAAAATATGTACACAGCAAATAACAAAACAATTTCAGGGAGGAGAGAGTGGTGTGAGCACCTTTTGGAGAGTTTGAAGGGGCATCAGAAATGACTAATGTATGATGTAGCAGATTAGCTGAGTTTTGAAGGAAGTAAGATTCTTAGAATCTAAGTATAAAAGTCATTATTGTATTTGATTCTACAGCCACTAGTGAGCCTTTGGAGGTTTTTGATAAAAGGACTGACACAGTAAGACTTGTGTATTAGGAATATCATTTTGTCATATATGTGGAGGATGGAATGGAGAAAGAAGGGAGTTGAGGCAAAGAGACCAGTTAGGAGGCTATTATAGTTCTAAAGAGAGGTGATAAGGGCCTCAACTTAGGGGGTGACTGTGTATGTGGAGAGAAGGGCACAAGTGAGGAAAAGATGAAGTAGCCCTACTCATGTAGGGCTTCATATACTACTTCACATTCTGGCTTCCTTGTTTTGAAATTATTTTAGAATGTCAAGCACTACGTCAAATTAGAAATATACAGATATAGTTTAAGTCCAAAAAACAATTGAGATTATACATATCCCTACTTTACATTAGCAAAAATAATTAAGAGTTGCCTCTTCTAATTCAACAAGTAAATTCAACACATAATTATGAAGCTTCTGTGTGCAAAGCCCTGTAATAGGTGTTGAGGGAGATAAAAGAGATACAGAGATGAATAAAATATGGCCTCTTTTATCAAGGAACTTATCTAGATAGCTTTGTATCCTACAATGTTAGATTTTAGAAACTTAGAAATTGCTTCATCTTATCCTTATTTCATAGATGAGGAGCTAAATTCCAGAAAGGTCTCAGGCCTCTGAACTAGGAGTCTAGTCCATTGCTGTTTGCCATGCTGTGTTTTATATTCCATACTTTCCATAACATCAGAAGATCAAGGACCTCTTCATCTAACATGGACTTCGTGAATGTTTGCTCGTGAATACTGATAATAAGAATCACTTATTATTTTTTACTATGATTATAAAATTTGCAGAACAAAAATCTGTAGCTCATGTTTAGTTGTGTCTAACTCTATGAGAACCCATGGACCATAGCATGCCAATACTATTCATGAGGTTTTCTTGGCAAAGATATTGGAGTGATTTACCATTTCTTTCTCCAATGGGTTAAGGCAAAGACTAAGTGACTTGCCCAGGGTCACACAGACAGTAAGTGTCTGAGGCTGGATTTGAACTCACGTCTTCCTGACTCCAGGTCCAGCTTTCTATCCACTGAGTCACCTAGATGCCTATGCTGTTGTAGCTGGTTAACTTAAAGCAAAGTTTCATGGTTAGAATTATAGGATCACAAATCTAAAGCTAGAAGACATCTGAGAGGCCATCTAGCCCAACCTCCTTGTTGTATAGATGAAGAATCTGAAAACCTCCAGGTCATACAAGTAAGAACTCAATTTGGAGTTGACATGTGGGAAGTGAAAATTCT